AATAATATTAATATATATATATATATATATATATATATATATAGAGAGAAACATTTCAGTAGGCCAGGTATTCCATGCACACAGAAACCAGCACAAACTATACAAGCACCATCTAAAGTGCTCCTGTTTCCAGATTACAGCTGTCTTTGTATTAAGCAATCATAATACTCTCACTTGTTCACTTGAATTAGCAGGCACAAGAAAATGGTTTGTCTGCTACAGAATATTGATTCATTAAAGTGGAGTTAATAGTGCCTGTCGGCCAGAGTGTTCTGTGATGTATGATTTATGTGCAGTACCTGCTGCATGTGACCCAGAACATTCTTCCTGCAGTCAAACACTCCCTTGCCCTCCTCGGAGTAGAGCTGATAGATGAAGTCTGTGGTGTAGTTTTCATTACTGTTCTCATTCCTGCATGAACACAAGCACAGACAAACCGGCTGAGTGAGTGACAGAGCGCATCTCAATCACACACTGACCCAAAATACTCTCATCTGAGCCGAGAGGAGAACAAACATGAGGGAACAAAGCACAAACTCAGATTCTGTCTTCTCAGACAGACATAGATAGATAGACAGATAGATAGATAGATAGATAGACAGACAGACAGACAGACAGACAGACAGACAGACAGACAGACAGACAGACAGACAGACAGACAGACAGACAGACAGACAGACAGACAGATAGACAGACAGACAGACAGATAGATAGATAGATAGATAGACAGATATATAGACAGATATATAGATAGATAGATACCTCAGGACTAGTCCTCTCTGAATGCTGGTCTTCATTTTCTCTGTCAAGTGCTCTACGTTAGACTGAAGAAAAGAGAAATGCAGTTTCTTCATTTAACCAACAGATGGCACTAACGGTTATTGTTTAATAACTGCACTAGACTTGACACTAAATCAAAGATTATATAACCTTTTGTGTAATTATTAATGAATCATGTTACATAATTTTATTGCTAAGACACTAGCATTTTAGCTGTGTGTGTGTGTGTGTGTGTGTGTGTGTGAGTGTTGATAACCTGTAGGTCTCTGATGTCAAACGGCTCCTCAAAGATATATGCAGCATCCGCTCCAGCCGCCAGTCCACCAACACTGGCCAGATAACCACAGTAACCTCCCATGGTCTCGATGATGAACACGCGGTGCTTCGTTCCGCTGGCAGACTGCTTTATACGGTCACATGTCTGACAAACACATCCACGCTTAGTCATTTCGTGTCTTCTTGAGTAATGCTATAAATCTTGCTACAACCTGCTGAATCACTGTCATGCCAGATACAGTACATGCCATGCAACAAGAGCCACTTTTGGAAGTCCAACTAAAAATGTCTTTTCTTACTAACTATTATAAGCATAAATCAGTTTGGAGACATGGAATATTTACTTTTCATGACGGTAAATCGCGTTCACAGAGAGCTTCGGGAAGATAAACTGCACTGAATATGGGCTTTTAGGAGCACCTTACAGACACAAAACAATGTATGATACACAATAATGTTCCTCATACCAAACTGTATATAAGACTGCATATGCTATTCCAAAATACTTTGCTTTCTAAACTGTTTACTGTTTTTATTACTCAAAGTATCTTTGAGTCATTCCCAGGAAACTGTGACATGTGCTATGTGTGTGTTCTCATGTACTACTGCTATAATTAAATCAGTCACAATATTTGATATATTTTAGTCTTTTTATTATGTAAAAAAAATTAAAAAAATATTTTTACTGTTTGTTTTTAATTAGAATATCAACCATGACTTGCATGCCCTATATTCACCATTAAAATGAAAATGTTATAAATATGCAGATATAGAATAAGTGATTATAGACAAATATTCTGTAGGTATAATATTTTATATTGTTAAGATTATTATTTAAGATATATAATTTTATATTATATATTTATTGTTTTATTTGTTCATAAAAATTGAAATTCTACCTAAATGTAACTTGCATTACAATGCAAAAAAAAAAAAAAAAAAAAAAAAATTATTATTTTTTTTTTTACAA